TTCCCCTTTCGGGCTTGAACTGATGGTAAAACTAAGGACTTTATTTACTGTCTTTACATTAATGTTGAAAGCTGAAGCTCGCGATTATGGAAAGGGGCGTTACATTTCCGACGAGTGCTTGCGGTGTTCGGCCAATCACAATGCACTGGGTCAGCTGGCCAATCAGAGCAGACTGCGCTTGTCGGAAGGAGGGGCTTTGTAGAAAACGACGCGTTTGAGAGAGGCGGGGCATAGAGGACCTACAATAATGTACAGTATTTGAAAAATAATGTGTTTTTTGAACATTAAAGCATGTCAACATATTCTGTTACACCAAATACACAAAATAATGATCTTTAAAATAGCATCATATGACCCCTTTAAAATAAACAAGGGTTTGTATGCCGAGATCGTCCTTAAGTGTAGTCAGGTTAAGGTCCAAATCATAGGAGCAGATTTTCATTTTGTGAGATTAGAGCCTAAATTAAAGTAGTGAGTTCATGCCCTAAACGCTAGCATTGTGCCAGATTTAGGTTACCTTCAGTTCTGATTTGTGTCACATTGATAAATTGATAACATTGTAATGTTGTGATGCATTACATACATGACAATAACATTCATATCTGCTTATTAAACACCTCTCCATATTCACAGTGTAATTTTTTAAAACATTTTTGTTACATTTTTTTTCAGATTGAAATGCCACCACGAATCAGCACTCTTAAGGATGCCATACATCATGTTGTCACAAAGTCTGACCAAACTAAATTAGAGGTACACTACATCAATGCGGTGAAAGGTAAGGTGGTGTCTGGTATGATTTATCAGTTAATAATTACTATCATATGTAACCATAACCTTATGAGTATGTAATGCAAAACTTCTAGGTATTTTAATTAGGAACCTGGTTGCAGAATATTTTAAATAAGCTACTATTGATGTGTTCTGTGTTTGCAATTATCATCCTTCATCTGCAAGACTTTTTTATTTATTTATTTGAATTTTTTTGGTGAAAATGTTTTTGCTGTACTTGCAGGACGTGGACTATTTGCAAAAGGTTCCTTCTGCAAAGGAGATTTTATTGTGGAGTACAGGGGTGAAATGATGGAGAGAAGGAGAAAACTCTACCACCCATCCTGTGCTGTTTTTTTGTTCCAGTTTAAGTGGAGAGGGAAAACGTGGTGGTAAGAAGTCATATTGCACCAAAGCTATATTCCTTGTGCTGTACTATAGTAAATAAGGCCGCATTTACACTGCAGGTCTTCATGACCAATTCTGATTTTGTGACTATATCCACTTTTTGGACGACGTGCTTGCATTTCTTTTAAGAGTGACACTTATCCAGTTTGTGCATTTTACACTGCACTTGGTGACACAAACTAAAAATAGCATATACAGCATGACCTCACAAATCAATTTCAGTAGTACATCGAGTTTAATTTATTGACATGGAATTCATATAGCAAATTTTTTAATGCAAGTTACATCCATACATCACAATAATGATATAGTACAGATTCTTCAGGACAGTGATTATGTATGCAGCTCAGCTGAAAGCTTGCGAGTGGAATAATACTCAGGTGGTAGATATTTAAGCATGATATATTGATGATATATGTAACATATTGTGTAACATATTGAAACACATGTATTTATCCTTTTCATATTTTTGTCAAATTGAAGCATTGATGCATCTAGTGAAGATGGATCGTTTGGGCGGTTAGTTAACGATGACCACCAACATCCAAATTGTAAGATGAAGAAAATTTATGTGAATGGAAAGCCACACCTGTGTTTATTTGCGCTGAAAGACATTAACGAAGGAGAAGAAATCACGTACGATTATGAGGGAGACGACTGCCCATGGAGAACCCAAGTAAGTTGCACAGCACACTGTATACAGAATAGCTCATTTTTGGTGATTGAACAAATTAGAATTGGAATCTATTAGAAATATGAATATAATTTCTCACAGTTATGACATTTGTGTTAGTGTTTCTTTTTCTTTTTTTTTACCCCCAAAAAATGTATACATTAAATAATGGGGTCTTACAGTCTTAGACCAATTTAGGGGTTAGACAGTGTGTGTGTGCGTGGGGGG